TAGTTCCCTGATCAGGGATCAAACCCATGTCCCTGCACTGGAAGGTAGATTCTTAACTACTGGACCACCAAGGAAGTCCCTCGAGTCTATGTATCTTAAGCAGACTCTCAATACTGGAAATCCTGCCATGTTTCCATAGTTGATTTGGTTCCCACCTTCCCTTCTCTTCAAACTACCAACTTGCTTCTTGCTCTCAGCTGATGGCCTTGTTTCTTGTTTTGCTTCTCATCACTAAATCTGCCCATTTCTTTGGTCACTACCCATATCCTCTGCCATCCCTCTGTGTCAGGAGATGTCCTGTCCCCATTGCCTGTGTGAGGCCCGGCCCTCATTGGACACTGGCCGCATCAAGGACATTGCTTCCTTAACCATCTCCTCTCTCTCCCGCCTCATCCACTTTTCCTTCTCTAACTGGGTCACTCCTATCAACGTACAAACACGCTGCTTACAACATCTTCCTTCTTAAAAAAAACCTCCCATCTCTTTCCAGCCGCCTTGCCACCTCTCCTGTCCTTTTTGTCTCTCCTTCCTTACTTCCCTTTCTCTCTTTAACCCTTTCCAGTCAGGCACATGTCCTCACTGCTCTTATCAAGGTCACAGCCAAACTCCATTTTGTCAAATCCAGGGATTAGTTCTCCTGTCCTCATCTCCCTTGACCACGTGCAGACGCAGTTGACGTGGGAAGCACCTTCACTGGGCTTCCAGAGTGTCACAGTGTCCTGGTCGTGTCTCCCAGCAAGTATCTGTTCTTGCTTAGTCTGCCGTCTCGCTGACCCCGCAGTACCGGGGGCCCCAGGGCTCAGCCTGGGCCTGTCCTCCTCTCCAGCTGCACTTTCTGCCCGGGGCGGGGGTCACATCAGTCACCGCGCTCCTCTGCCGCACCGCCATCTTTGCGCGGACGACTTCCGGACGCTCCTCCGCGGCCCCCGCTGCTGCCTTCACTCCACCAGCCTTCTCAGCAACCCCCCCTTGAATGTCTGCTCTGCATCTCAGATTTCGGGCCGGAACAGAACTCTTGATTTAGCTCTCAGACCGTCCCTCCCCAGTTTCCCCAGATCAGCGAGTGGCTTACTCTTCACCCAACTGGGCAGGCCGCAGGTGTCGCCCTTCACCTTGTCGCCGCACATGCTACATCCAGCCCAGCAGCAGCCGGCCACCTCTGCCTTTACACCTGGAACCAGAACACTTCACACGGTTCCTACCGCTCGTCCGAACTCCCCTTATCGCCCGTTTCCTCTCATGGGGCCCTGCAGTCTCTTCTTGGCCTGGCAGACATGGCGCTCCTTACAAGACGTGAGCCAGGTTGGGTCAGCCCCCTCCCGGCCTCCCGTTGTGCCCGGCTAACGGCCCGGCCGGTCCCCTACACGAGTCCTACTGGACTGGGCCCTGGCACCTCGTTGCCTCCACAGCCTGCCTACTCTTCTGCCCTAGCGGCGCCCCTACCCCAGCACCCGCAGCCTTAGCACTTGCAAATCCGTCTGCGCAGGTCTGGGAAGTGCCTGCTCTCTCACATCTCTGCTCACCACTCCTGTTCCCAGGGAGGCCTCCTCTGACCACCCTTTCTTTTTTTTTTCTTTTTATATTTTGGTTGCATTGGGGCTTCGTTGCTGCATGTGTTGCTGCGCGCGGGCTTTCTCTAGTTGCGGTGAGCAGGGGCTACTCCTCGTTGCGGTGCGCAGGCTTCTCATTATGGTGCCTTCTCTTGTTGTGGAGCACAGGCTCTAGGCACACGGTCTTCAGTAGTTGCAGTGCGTGGGCTTCAGTAGTTGTGGCACGTGGGCTCAGTAGTTGTGGCTCGCGGGCTCAGTAGTTGTGGCTCGCGGGCTCAGTAGTTGTGGCTCGCGGGCTCAGTAGTTGTGGCACGCAGGCTCAGTAGTTGTGGCTCGCGGGCTCAGTAGTTGTGGCACGCGGGCTTAGTTGCTCCGCAGCATGTGGGATCTTCCCTGACCAGGGATCGAGCCCACCTCCCCTGCATTGTTAGGCAGATTCTTTACCACTGAACCACCAGGGAAGTCCCCCGACCACCCTTTCTAAAATGTCCCCAGACCCCTCTCCTCTGTGCTCTGTCTCCTTCCTTGCCGTATTTTCTTCATATCTGAAATTCTTTCCATTCGCTCAATAAGTAATTTTGAGCACCCACAGTGTGCCAGGCACTGGTCCAGTCACTGGGGATGCCAAGTGAACGCGTGTCTTCCTCGTGGAATCTGTACCCCGGGGTGGGAGCGACAGTGAGCAGATATGTTAATGGAAGGATGTTCCTGTCAGGGGGTGCTTAGTGCTGCTGAGAAACGTAAAGCAGCAGAAAGGGTAGGAAGTGACCGAGGGCTTGCTCCTTAGGGAGGGTGGTCAGGGCAAGGCTCTGAGGGGGTGACTTTGAAGCAGAGACCTGAGTGGGACGTGGATGCCTGGAGGAGGGGCCACGAGGCAGAGGGGGCAGTGAAAGCAGAGCCCTCAGGGAGGGCAGGCATGTGCAGGGCAGGTCCAGCGGGTGTGCGCTGGAACCGCACGGTGGCCCATGTGGCTCAAGCCTATGGAGCAAAAGGAAGAGTGTTGGAGGCCAAGTGGTGCAGACTTTGAGATGAGAGTTGGGCCGAAGGAGCCTGGCCTTCATCTAGAGGTGGAACCACGGGAGGGTCGAAAACAGGAGGGGAAAGATCCCTTGTTGTAGCTTAGACATTGGAGTGAGGTGGAGAGGGAGGTGATGGGAGGTGGTGTGGAGGGACCTTGGGACAGACAAAGGCACGAGACAGTGACGGGGAGACAGAGAGAATGAAAAGGGGGAGATTTCTAAATTTCGTCTTCCGGACTTGCGTTCAAATATTTCAAACTGAATGTACTGTTATGGGCAGAAAAATGTAAGGTTACAGAATCACGCATTCTTTTTTTTTTTTAATATTTATTTATTTATTTGGTTATACTGGCTCTTAGTTGCGGCTCAAGGGCTCCTTAGTTGTGGCACGTGAACTCTTAGTCTCTTAGTTGCAGCATGCACGTGGGATCTAGTTCCCTGACCAGGGATCGAACCTGGACCCCCTGCATTGGGAGCGTGGAGTCTTAACCACTGGACCCCCAGGGAAGTCCCAAATCATGCATTCTTAGAACTAGAAGAGATCTGATAAATTCTCCATTTTATTTTACAGATAGAAACAGGTTCCAGTGATGTGCCCCAGATCCCCAGATCAGGTGCCAGTGAATGGCAGAGTTAGCATTAGAGCCCAGGCTTTGTAATTCCTCTGAGGTTATGGGCAACCAGCCGCGGGGAGGAGACTGGGAGTGGGGTCCAGGGAGTGGCTGCTTTGGGTACACCTTGGGGAGGGGTGGCAGGAAGAGAAGAAAGACTTACTTTAAAAAATTTCATGACGTTTTATTTATTTAAGTGTTTTGAAAATATAAAAGATGTTGGACATTCTTGCACTTAATTTTTAAAAAACTGACCTAATAAATTCTCTGGTGTATGAACCTTGTGTTAACAGTTGTGTAAATGCACACCACCTCCTCTTCCGGTAGCATAAGGCTGAATGACTATGGACTTCGGGTGACATTAAAGGTTTCTTTTGGGGCTTCCCTGGTGGCGCAGTGGTTGAGAATCTGCCTGCCTATGCAGGGGACACGAGTTCGTGCCCCAGTCCGGGAGGATCCCACGTGCCATGGCCGCTGAGCCTGCGCGTCCGGAGCCTGTGCTTCGCTACAGGAGAGGCCGCAACAGTGAGAGGCCTGCGTACCGCAAAAAAAAAAAAAAAAAAAAAAAAGATTTCTTTTAAGTAGTACCTGATATCTTTTTGTGACTGTTTAATTTTTGTTTTGCATTTTTTAGAAACTTTTTATTTTGTATTTTTTATTGGAGTATAGTTGATTTACAGTGTTGTGTTAGTTTCAGGTGTACAGCAAAGTGAATCAGTTATACATATGCATGTATCCACTCTTTTTTTAGATTCTTTTCCCATATAAGTCATTACAGAGTATTGAGTAGAGTTCCCTGTGCTATTCAGTAGATCCTTATTAGTTATATATTTTACATATAGTATTGTGTATATATCAATCCCAATCTTCCAGTTTATCCGTCCCCCCACTTTCCCTCCTGGTAACCATAAGTTTGTTTTCTACATCTGTGACTCTATTTCTGGGTTTAATGTTTTTTACTTGGAAGCAGAGCGAGGGATTAGTGACTCTGTGTTTTTTCCATGAGACTAATTCTAGTGCATATCCTTTCTTAAAGTAAATGAATTGACTTTATCATTACACTCTATTTTGTTCTAAATACACTTTATGCTTTTGACTGTTTGAATTACACATACCATGTGATAGCACGTTAGAAAAATAATCTTCCTCCCTCTCACCAGCAATCCTTGACTGTCTCATTTATACCACCCTCCAGTCCTTGATCACGTTCATTTTAAGTAGTTGTCATAGAAGAGAGAATTACTTTTGACTTTAGCCACTGTATTTCCTAGTGCTACTGTAATAAATTACCATAAATGTAGTGGCTTAAAACAACCCAGATTTATCGTCTTACAGTTCTGGAGGTCAGAAGGCTGAAATGGGTCTCACTGGACTAAACTCAAGGTGTTGGCAGGGCTTGTTCCTCTCTGGATGCTCCAGAGGAGAATCAGTTGATTACCTTTCGCAGGTTCTAGAAGCCGCCCGCATTCCTTGGCTCCCGGCCCTTCCTCCATCTTCAAGGCCAGCAACAGCGGGTTGAGTCTTTCTCCCACTGCGTCACTCTGATGCCAACCTTCCTGCTTCCCTCTTTCCCTGATGAGCACCCCTGTGATTATGTTGGGTCCACCAGATAATCGAGGCTACTCTCCCTATTTTAAGGTCAGCTGATCAGCAACCTTAATTCCATCTGTAGCCTTAATCCACCCCTTCTATGCAACCTAATATTTTCACAGGTTCTGGGGATTAGGACATGGGGGCCATTATTCTGCCCACTACAGCTATCTTTTTGTTATTTTACAGACAGTTGGAATGATAGCCTTTGTCTTATGTTTTTGCCTTGTAGAGATTTTTGCTGTGAGAATTAACAGTAACGGTTCAATATGGGGGACATTCTGGCTCATGAATCAGAATTACTTGGACTAGTGAAAGAGGTATGTTTTACAAAACACGGGTCACAGAAAAAGATCTTGCAAACTTGTAAAACTTGTATTTTACAATGCAGGAAATTCTGTAATGCCTTGTAATGTTTCTATCATTACATTACAGTTATCTGTTTTCCTTTTTATAATTTTCCATGTATTTATATTTTGCTTTCATAACTAAACTGAAATTGTAAAGCTGCTTTTTAGAATTCCTTTAAAGAAAGTTATAAAGACAGCACATGCTCATGGTAACAGATTCAAACAGTATAGAAGCATAAACAGTGAATTGCCCTCCTGCAGTGACCACTGTTAATGGCTTAGTATATTACCTTTCCAGACTTTTTTCTATGAGTATTCAAAATGTATTCACGCGACTATAGTTTGTTTTACAAAACGTGGTGATACCACACGCATTGTTCTGCAGCTTGCCTTTCATCTGTCAGCAGTAGACAGTGTGACCCTCTCCCTGTGATCTGCCTCACACTTCTGAATGCCGTAGAGTATTTCACTGAGTGGCTGCATCATCATTTAACTTGTTGCCTATTAATGGACATTTAGGTGTCCTACGCTGAAAGCTTTTGAAGGATAAGACCCACACCGTATGCTTTTTGGTATTCTCTACTGCCTTTAGCAGGGGCTGGCATGGAGTTGGTGCTAAAGAAATGGTTGCTACTGTTTTACTGTGTGGTTGAACTGTCCATTAGGCGTTGAGAGACATGGCCATGGAGCAGGGATACGGCATCCACCCTGGGAATGCAGCTTTGGAATTTGGTGTGATCGTGAATAAATTTTCCAAGCTGTCACAGCAGAGGATTGTGGATAGGGCCTGGAGAAATAGCCACAGTTAGAGGAGGTGGAAACAGAAAGTTACGACCGACACAAACTGTAAAGAAGGGCGGAGAAGAGTGGAGAGCAGCAGTAGAAGTAATGCATGTCACTAACACAAGGCAGGGGGCGTTTCAGGACGGGGTGGGCGGGGATCATTAGTGCTTGAAGGTGGCTGATGACTTTGCCCATCTTTTAATGACTTACCTTTTGTTCTTAGGGGCAAGCATTACCTCTAATCCCTCTGTTTCAAGTAACAAATTCCCAGAGACCTACTTAGACCCAAAGCCATCAGGTCCTTTGATCACTTTTGCCTTTTTCAGGCTGCTGCACATATCATCTTATTTTCTGTTAATAATTATAATAAGGGAATTCCCTGGTGGCCCAGTGGTTAAGACTCTGCACTTTCACTGCCGAGGGCATGGGTTCGATCCCTGGTTGGGGAACTAAGATCCCGCAAGCCGTGCGACGGGGCCAAAATTAAAACATAAATTATAATGCAGCTCACATTTTCCTTCTAAAAACAAATTTATTTGCTGTAAATAAATGTTTTCTATGATACTGTCTTTCTAGTTTTTTAGTGTGCATGTCAGTAAGTAAATTCTAAGCTGGATCCCAAATTGCTTCTCCCAAAGATGACAGTTCATTAACCCCATTATAAATTTTGCGATAATATTGAGCTGGTACAGTTACATCAAAGATGGTTACTTTGTTGATGTTAAAACAGAGAAATATATATACATTTATGCGCTTTTTTAAATAGTATTTAGATTTTGCTGAATTTGAAGACACCTTGAAAACATTTTCAAAAGAATGCAAAATAAAAGGAAAACCGTTATCTAAATCAGCATGTGGCTCTTTAAGGGACTCCAAATCATCGATAATCCAGGTAACATTTTACTTTTTTTGATTTCTGTAGATAATCAAGATGCTCCAAATTTGTAAGAAGTGCTGCCATTAGAGGATGTTGGACTATTTCCGGGGACCGGGGCACAGCGACTCTTAGACTGTACAGATGTTTATGGATAAATGAGCAATGTCATTTTCAAATCTCTGTATCCTAGGAAATGGGTGGCAACATAAGATCTTTCACATACATTTCTTGGCAAGAAGAAACCGTGCAATGCTTAGAAACTAAGACTAATGTGGTCCCCATTCTGAGGAGTTTTAGGTTATGAATTCCAGGTACTGGAGACACAGCAATGAACAAAACAAAACAAAATCTCTGCCCTCATGGTGCTTGCCTTCTAGTTCGGGGAGGTCGGAGGGGGCAGGGAGCAAGAGCCATATGCAAGGCAGCATCCTTTCAAAGCAAGGCCTGGGCAGCGGTGAGCCTGTGGCAGTGGGCTGCAAAGGGCAGGTATTACATGGTCCTCAACTCTCAGGGTTAGACAGGATCTTAAAAGTCCTCATTTCAACCATTATTTGATGCTCCACCCCATTTGTAACATTCTAGGTAAGTGATTGATTCACCGTGAATACATCCAGTGACAAGAGAACATACCGTTTCCTGAGGCAGCGTATTTCAGATTTGCGTGATTTTATTATTTTAATAAATTTATTTGTTTCAATATACATACTTCTAAGAAAAATATGAGACTCTGTTTGAGAGTCCCACTGAGTAGCTGGAGGTCAGGCCACAGCCTGACTCCCCAGTGGCCTGGCACGGGGTACCATTGAGCAGGGGCACCGTCGCAATGGCCCCCGACCCAGTGCCCCTCCAGTCCTCATGCACCTGGATTCTGAGCTGCCACCGCTTCAGACGCAGGCTCTTCTGTCAGTGATGCATCGGGCAGCCTGATGATAGCTCCCAACCCTGGAGCACACTTTTCAGAACGTGAAACAAGAATCTAGTCATTATTAGACATGGAAACAGAGGCTGTACTTAACTTGAAAGACCTTGAAACTTTCTGATAGTGAGAAGCCTGTCTTTTCTGCTCATTCAGTAAACAGCTGTGTCCTGCCATTACAGATTTCCCAAACAATAATACCTGGAGCAGTGACTTAGGGACATTTGTGAAGTTGGCACTCAGCAAAGGGAGAGTTTCCCTAAGCACAGTTCTGTAAGAATGTGTGTGTGTGTGTGTGTGTTTATAGGTGATTATTGGTGGTATGTAAATTTCCTGATCTTCATAATGCTGGCTGTGATCATGGTTTACATCTGAGAAGTTAATATTTTGTGACCCTATGAGTTGTAACACTGGATTGCTCTATGTGTAGATATTACTTTAAATGCAGGGACCATTTCCAGGTACAGAATATGATTCATAAATTGGGAGTATAATGGCACAGCAAAGGTTTGTAGTCCCAGGTCTACAAAGGTAGAGTTTAGAATAAAGTGTAGATGGGCCATTGGACACATAGACTTCCTTTGCCAAGCCATTTATGAAAGTACCTTGACTCCAAGCTTTAAAATACCCACGAGAGTCTGCGGTCACCTCATTCACACAGTCACTGGACCTCTCGCAGGACAGTCCTCCCCAGAGTGGCTCGTGGGGTTCGCTCAGAGCTCAGCCGAGGTGAGCCTGGGGCGGGGCCGGGCCTCAGCAGCACACCCTTGGGAGGCTCCCCTCCACCTTTGCATCAGTCAGTGACAAGAAAAGGGGATCCTCTGGCCAGGCTCCCCCAGTTTCTTCCAGAGGTGGCGGTGCTTAGCTGCCTCTGCTTTACTTTGCTACCCGCCCTGCCTGCAGTTGCTGACCAGCTGTCCTTCGCTGTTTCCAGGGCTGAGAGACAGAAAGAGGCCAGTTTTGAAGAGGTAGAATTTCACTGTAGGGCTTATTTTGAAACATTCTGAGTTTCTTTCAAATGTATGCCAATCCCTTCCAGACTAAGGTAATATTCAGAGACAGTTGTTCTCGGTCACGTCACGTAGAGAACATTTTTGTAAGATTCACAGTGGAAGATTCCTTATCAGTGAATGTCTTTGGCTTAAGGATGACCAAACAATGTAACATTGTTCTCTGTACACTTCTATTTTATAATGTTAAAAAGTTTGATTATAAACAAATAGAATGTGTAACCTTAAAAAAAAAAAGACAGTTTTACAGAAAAAATGTAAAACCATTAAAAAAAGTATAAAAGAACAATGACCAAATAATGGTGGTAAATAGTGGTGGTGATGGGTTGGGGAACTGGTGATTCTATAGAAAATGTACTCCGAGAAAAGCTTTTGCAGCTGAGCACAAAATGTAGGTCTGAGGATCTTGGGCATTTGATACAAAAAGGAAGACAATATGAGTCACAGGAAGTCCTTGTGATTCTGCCTTATACCTAAATCTGCAAGATTACACAGCAGCTGTTTGTGACGGGTCAGTTGTCATTTTTCCTGTGAGACAGGTGACATGGGAACTGCCACCACCTTTCTCCAGAATTCTCTGTTTCAGCTATTGCATGGCGAGTCGGGAAGCTGTCTCTGCCCCACATAGTCAGACTGGCACAGCTCCGAGGTCGGGTTGGTGCCGGGCCTGTGCGCCCTCCTCCATCTCCAGCCCAGGCTTCCTTGTTCCTGGAACGGGAGGGCCCGGGCAGTCACTACCTGCATGTGTTGGGCTCTATGGTTGCTTCCCACACTGCCCTCTCCGCCAGACATGCTTCTAGCAACAGCGGGCACGTGGCAGCACCCACCTCCCAGGCCTGGGATCGACTGTTCCGTGTGGCTGAGCTCCCAGGCGCTCAGGGACTTGGCAGCTGTGGTGTCAGCAACTTGCCATAGGTATGAGGTTGTTCCACTGAGGCCTGGCTGGGCTCTGGGCCTGGCCTGTTCTCATCAGTTGCGTGCAGTGGGTCAGCAAGTCCAAAGGGCGACCTCAATGTATTCCCTTGCCTATGAGTCTCTGGGCTCAATCTTTGGCCTATGCCTGATTCCTTCCATCTCAGAGACCTTCAGTGTTGTGTCTGTTCTTTAGAGTGCTCAGATTTGATGTTGCAGAGCAGTGGAAATCCAGGGTCGGTCTGTAGGAATCTCAGCCTAGGCAGTTTGAAGCCCTCTGGGTCTCTATTTCCCTATCCCTTACCTCTGAAAAGGAGACTTAATTCTGCTCACACTGAAACGATGGAGCATACCGGTATCCAAGGTAGTGGGAGGGTGTGAGGATTCGGGGTGTCGAGAGAAGGGGCACCCCTATGACCAGGCTTCACTCTGATGTCTTCTCCACAGAAGGACCTCCTTGCTGCGTTTGACAGTGGAGACCAGAAGGTGTTCTTCGATTTGTGGGAGGGGCACATCCCCAGTTCCATCCGGGCTGGCGACTCCCTCGCCCAGAAGTTGGAATTCTACCTACACATCCACTTTGCCATCTATCTTCTGAAACACTCCACAGGGAGACCTGTAGGTTCACCTTATGGCGTGGGTTGGTCCAAATGGTGTGTTAAAGGAGAATGTGTTATGTTTTGCAAATGAGGATTAGTTTAGTTTTGTGGCCATTTTACCATATTGCTTCTAAGGAGTAGGTGTCTTACATCCTGATGAATGATTTTCTATCTCATTCCCAGCAGTTTATTTTCTAATTTGCATGGAAAGTTAATCACTTCTGTAATGAAAGCTACATCATTTTCCTGAATACCTCGACATGTATGTCTAAGAAAATACGTGTTTAGACCACATTTTCGACCATATATTAGAAGATAAATGTAAGCTTAAACAGTGGGAAAATGGTATGCCCGTCTGTGAAAGTTCATTTGAGTGATAAGTTGAATTTAGCTTCTGCAGTCTTTTCCTGCAGGTGTGGGACTGGAACTGTGAAGGGGAGAGGGGAGCAGCTGCAAACTTCTCTGCAGGTGAACCTTGGAGCACGGAGAGAATGACAGAAGGGGAGCAGGCCAGGCTGACATCGGACCACGCACATTTGTTTCGTGGCTTCTCCACGCCTTGGCTACTGCTCCCAGGACCTGTGTTAACTTATCAAATGTCAGGGGGCCACAGGAAGGCTCAGTGGTAGAGGAGCAGCTTTACAGCACATTGTGGTAGCCATTCTTGGAAGGCTGTTCCTTAGGATAGGACTCCTGTGGGTGCCGTTGTGGGAGACTTTTCATTTTCTTTGCATTTATTTTTATTTTCTAATTTTTCCATTTTTCTGTAAGATAGAAAGATCAATAAATTTTTTAAGTCCGGTGGGCTTCACGGTGTAGGTGAAGTGAGATGCACTGATGAGAAGAATTGGCCTGTGTATGAGGCTGTGAGGGACGTAACAGGCGAGGCCAGGGTGGACCTTCTCATTGAGGCCCAGGAGAAAATGGAAACCCTGGCGGGGGACCCGACTTGCCTGGGGTTACACCTGGAAGCAGCGAAGCAGGCGGGATCACTTCTTAGTTAGCCTGATAAAGGAAAGGAACGATGGTATGGAAAACTTCCATTTCAAAAAACTATTCACCTTTAAGTGCTCTCTTCGGCAGCACATATACTAAAAAAAAAAAAAAATTGGAACGACACAGAGAAGATTAGCATGGCCCTGCGCAAGGATGACATGCAAATTCCTGAAGCGTTCCATGTTAAAAACAGTAACTGTTCACCCTTAAAAACCTCTCGTAAGGAAATCACAGCAACGCAGACAAATGTTTATTTCTGATATCTGAGCTATGAAAACAATGTACGTATCTAATAATGGGGGAATTGGCTAAATAAATTATGATAGACCCACGAGATGAGGTTTCGTCCTGCCATTAAGAATGATGTTTATGAAGAATCTTAAGGATATGAGAAAATGGTAACGATAGATTGAAAAGGCAGCATTTGAACTGTGTGTATCATATATCTAGTTCTCTGATATTCCTGACAGTTTCACGAAGGGGCGAAATAGGAGTGATGTTAGGATGACTGGTGACAGCACGCAGGCTGGGCCAGACGGGGAGGATGCCAGCGACGTGGCGGGAACTGAAGGAGCCTCGGAGAGAGGACAGGTGAACAGGTGAGCTGGCCTCAAGCAGGAGATCTCAAAAGAGCATCCTTCCTTCCTCGCAGGACAAAGAGGAACTGGATGAAAGGATTTCTTATTTCAAAACCTACCTGGAGACCAAAGGGGCAGCGCTGAGCCAGACCACGGAGTTTCTCCCTTTCTATGCCCTGCCTTTTGTTCCCAATCCCATGGTCCACCCCTCATTTAAAGAGCTTTTCCAGGTAAGTGACCACCTCCGAACCTTGTCTCAGATCCTGGGCAGCATGGCAGTCTCACCTTGTATACATTGGTGCTTTCTGAATGATGCTGTAAAAAGGCTAAAATTTGCTTATGTTATGTTGTATTTTCAAAGAATGTACAGGTAGTTTGCTTTAACAAACTTTTCTTGTGCTATAAAGTGTGCTTTTTTGTTGTTGCACCAAGACTTGTTAACCCAGACTGACAAAATATTTTAAAATATACTAACCTCTCAAATCATTCTGTGTATACTTCTGCGGTATTGAAACAATAACTTATTCAATTACGATGAAAATTAGTAGCCTGAAAAAAAACTAGGCTGCTTTACACAATCCCTGGCTATGCATATTTTGATTTGTGTTAAAATTCTCCCTTACTTGGTATATATTTGGTTACCTGATTGTGTACTGTATTACCATCAGACTATTTGCCTATAGCTCTTTTAATTGTTATACTTCATTTTAGTTGACATTTTAGAATAATATTTATGAATAAGATTTACCTATTAAGGTAATTTTTGTTGACTTAGTAAAATTAGTATGTCCCACTGAGAGGTTTATTGAAAGGTATTTAGAGACAAATGTTTTGATATAACGAGATACTTTTTCTAAAGATCTCGCTCTGTTTCCAAGAATCTGTATGGTGCTTACTCCCCTGCCATTGAACGGCGGATGCAGTTCTTCCAAGCTCAGTACATTTCAGTTTCTGCTATAATTCAGTAAAACAAATTTCATTACCCCTGAATAGTAGCTGCTAAACTGAAGGTCAGGTCGTTGACTGAGCTCATCAAAGCCGGATTGTTGTATAGTAGCACAGCTGAATTCTGTGCTTGTTTCTTTGGTCAGTCCAAATTTAGTTTTACCGTCTTCTCCTAGAAGGTTGAAAATATGAAACGGTTAGAAAGTTGTGAAAGTTCTCACAGTCAAGGCTTCTGTTTATGAGAATTATGACATGGCAGCGTGGCTACAGCTTAGATCACGGTGAGGATGAGCCGGCAGCGTCAGGGAAGGGTCCCTCTGAGGCCGCAGCAGGTCTGATGTTCCAAGGCAGAGGCCAAGTTCTTCTTCAGAGTTCAGGAATTTAGAGACCATCAGTGTTCATGGAGAGTCATTTTATTCCATTTTTTTTCCTCTTGCTACTCTCTATTTTTTTTTTTTTTTTTTTTTTTGGCGGTATGCGGGCCTCTCACTGTCGTGGCCTCTCCCGTTGCGGAGCACAGGCTCCGGACGCGCAGGCTCAGCGGCCATGGCTCACGGACCCAGCCGCTCCGCGGCATGGGGGATCTTCCCGGACCGGGGCACGAACCTGTGTCCCCTGCATCGTAAGGCGGACTCTCAACCACTGCGCCACCAGGGAAGCCCTACTCTCTAAATATATTCTTTCAGTGGTCATCACAGATACTTCAGTGTACATAATAAAATCTAAAGTTAATGTCTTTATTCTCTTCCTGACCATTACAAGGACCTTAGAATGCATTAACCTCATTTATCTCCTTCCCAACTTACGTGCTATTATTATCAAATATTTTAGTTATATACTTTAACCACACAAATTTGAAATTTTTATTATTTTATGCAGTCAGTATGTGTATAGATTTACCTTTAGGTTTGCCAGTATGTTTGCTTACCACTCCATCTTGCGCTGAGGACCTTCCATCTGGGATCATTTTCTCCTCTACCTTAAATACATTCCTTTAAAATCTCCTTTAGTTGAGGATCCCTTCTTTCAGTTCTTGTTTGCCTGAAAACATCTTTATTGCTTTCTCAGATAGGGTTAAAATACTAGGTTTACAGTTCTTTTCTTTTCTTCTTTTTTTTTTTTGGCCACGCGGCATGTGGGACCTTAATTCCCCTACCAGGGATTGAACCCGTGCCCCTTGCAGTGGGAGTGCAGAGTCTTAACCACTGGACTGCCAGGAAGTCCCAACAGTTGCTTTCTTTTTTTTTTTTCTTTTTAACATCTTTATTGGAACCGACAGTTACTTTCTTTTGGGACATTGAAGGTATTTTTATTTCATCTCCTGGCTCCCACTGTTGCAATTTTGAAGTTGGCCGTCAGTCTAATTGCTGTTCCTTTGTACGTGGTCTGTCTTTTTTCTCTGGCCTTTAAGGTTGTATAATTTCACTGTAGTGTGTCTAGGGATACCCACATATTTTATTTTGTTTTGTTTTTTAAGATGTCTTCGTTTATGTTGGCCAATCTAGCAGACCTTTCCTGAGATTCTTTTCTATATGGTTGAGCACAGAGAGCCTTGAGCTGGAGCACGCTATTAGTTTCCTGCAGCTGCTATAGCAAAGGACCACAGACCGGGTGGTTTAGAACAGAAATTTATTGTCCCGCAGTTTAGGAGGCCAGAAGTCTGAAATCAGGGTATCGGCAGGGGCGTGCGCTCTCCGAAGCTTCTAGGGGAAGATGCTTCCTTGCCTTTTCCAGCTTCCGGTAGCCTCAGGTGTCTATTGGCTTGTGGTTGAATAATTCCAGATCTCTGCTCTGTCTTTACGTGGCCATCTTCTCTCTGTGTCTGTGTCTAAATTCCCTTCTTCTTATAAGGACAGCAGTCATATTGGATTAAGAGCTTACACTAATAGCTAATTCCATCTGCAACGTCCCCGTTCCCCTGGCCTCACATTCTGAGGAGATTAGGGCTTCAACATGTCTTTTTAGGGGGCACAATTCAACCCACAACAGACACATGAGAAATGAAGTCATCATGCTGTGTCGGGGAATTACAAAATCTTTTTAAAATATCAGACTTTTCTGCTTTTCTGGCAGTGTTTTTTCAAAGGGTCAGACAACGCACTGGAGGGACTGATGGGGTGGCGTGGGAGGCGTGGATGAGGATTAGAGCTGGGGGGAGGAATGGGGAAGGATGGGCAGATCTGGGGGAGATGGGGCAGGATCTCAGAGGTAAGTGGACATGAGTTTTTAGTGGCAGAGCTTCTTTCTAGTGGAACTTCTTGGTTTAGGTGGCGGATACTTTTGTCTGAAGACTCAGAAAAATTGTCCTGAGAAAGATGGTTGCTTGTGACACTTATTCTTTTACTACGTGAGTCATTATTTTTTCCTTCTCAATGAGCATTATTTGAGATAAATAATTTATTTTTAAGGAGCAAATCAAACTAGATGTACGTCATGATGCTGGACGTGATGGAGTATTTGAGGCAGATAACAGCTTCTTTCTGTTTTTCTTGTCTGGATGAGGTTTATGGAAATGAGTCTTCTTCTTCTGGAGACTCTCAGTAACTTAGCGATAATTGTGTATTCCTGCCAGTGCCACATATGCCTAAACCATACTGCATTATTTTTGGTATTCAACATAATAAGGTTACTTATCAGGCTTGTGTTTAAATCACATGAAAAATTCAAATCATGTACAGGGTTATTTTTTCTCTGTATATGAAAGTACTCTCTTCTTTCCTCCTGCTGTGGGCTCTCGAATCTTCTATAAGTGAATTGGTGAAATGTCCTAAAACCTGTTTTTTACAGCATCACACCACTGGCAAGACATCTTGCTTCTGATTTCAGTAACTGTGGTGGAGTTATTTAACCCTAAAGGCCACAACTTGACAATGTTTGTTGGCATTTAATGATCTAGTGCTTTTCTTTTTTTTCCTTGTTTTTTTTTTTCCTTTCTTTCAGGATCCTTGGACTCCAGAATTAAAGTTGAAGTTGGAAAAGTTTCTGGCTTTAATTTTTAAAGCCAGTAACACGCCGAAGCTTTTAACATTATATGTATCCTTTTGAAGCATATGGAGGCCACCTATGGTGTTAGAGCAGCTCACTGGCCTAGGTGTCCTCAAACAGGGATAGTTGTGGTCGTGCTGCTTTCATACTTAAGAGCGAATTAAGCGTTAATGGGAGCGTGCCAACCAGTCCGTGGCCTGTTAGGAACCGGGCTGCACAGCAGGAGGTGAGCGGCGGGCGAGTGAGTGAAGCTTCATCGCCGCTCCCCATGGCTCGCATCACCACCCGCACCATCGCCCTCACCATCCGCGGAAAAATTGTCTTCCACGAAACCGTCCCTGCTGCCAGAACGGTTGGGGACCACTGCTGCAAAGGATTGACTTCTATGGCGTTGGGTCTCTGAGACGCGGCGAGGGTCCTATTTTCATGTCATGTGCTGAGAAGCTGTCTGAGTAGGAAAAAAAAAAGTCTGTCTTCCTGAAAAATAACTCTTTGGAAGAATTGTCCTTCGCAGAAGATCAGCTAGTCACTTTGAAGGCCTTGAGGCCGTGGCGTATGGACAAGTCATATATAACTTGCCACTCAAATTAGGACTTTTTCCCGTTGTGGAGCACAGGCTCCGGACGCACAGGCTCAGCGGCCATGGCTTACGGGCCCAGCCGCTCGGCGGCATGTGGGATCTTCCCCGACCGGGGCACGAACCCATGTCCCCTGCATCGGCAGGCGGACTCTCAACCACTGCGCCACCAGGGAAGCCTCAAATTAGGACTTTTAAAAAACAACTTTGTTGGAACTTCCTTGGTGGTCCAGTGGCTAAGACTCCGTGCTCCCAACATAGGGGGCCCGGGTTCGATCCCTGGTCAGGGAACTAGATCCCACATGCCGCAACTAGAAATCCCAAGTGCCACAACTAAGACCCGGCACAGCCAAATAAATAAATAAATATGTTAAAAATAAATAAATAAAAAACAACTGTAATTTACACACTGTGAAATTTACCCGCGGTACGCACATTGTTTAATGATTTTTAGCAAACGGATAGAGTTGTGCAGCCGTCACCACAATCCAGTTTAAATAGGGACACTTTTGAGAGTAAAAAGGGAACACTGACCGGACAGCGGACCAGGCAGCAGGTGTAAATGGAGCTTGTCCGGGGAAGAATGTCACGGATCGCCCAGCCCGTGGGAGGCTGATTTCCCAAAGCTCGTGGGTCTCTAAGGACGTTCATCTCCTTTTGTTCTGAGCAAGAATGTATCAAAAGTTATTTCATAACAAGAATATAGCATTTTGAATTGTAAGGTTGGTGTTTGTTTTGTTTAATTTAATAAAACATTTAGGCCACTGTGCTGCATAATACCTTCTGCTTCCGTTCTAACTCCAAAGCACTGGACTCTCTTTTCCTAATTGAACTCTTTGAATTGAAATCCCTGGGATTTCATGGCGTGTTTCTCCTGCTTCAGCTTCCTAAGCCTCTGGTGGCTCCCTGTGGCCCGTACTCAAGTCCTCAGCCTCGCCTTGAGACCGCCCACCATCGGGCTGAGTACAGCTCTCCTCTCTGCTTTTATATCCTTTAAGGTTTTGTTCCAATACTACCCTCTGCCCGCATACCATTATGTTTGCATACCCAATTCTTTTCCCTCTTAGAGTTCCATATAAAAGGACAGTTTTCAGTGAAATTAGGACTTTTCCAACTTGGTTTATGATTACTTGAATACACTTTTAAAAAGCGTTTCTCCTTAAAAAGGTAATGGGGATGATGTAAAGATTCTAAAAGAAATTTTTTACGTAGTAAATCATATTAGTTATATTAATAATAGCACCCATTTCATTGGAATAATATGAGGATTGAGTTAATACGTGAAAAACTTGCTTAAAACAGCCCAACACATGGAAGCGCTTGTGTTACTGACTGTTAGCTGTTAGTATTATAGTTTGCAAATAGTTGTTACCTTTTATCCTGTTCAACATGCTTTGAAGCAAATATACTGAAGTCTAGCAGGTAACTATAGACATTATTCCTTTCTTTCCCTTGTCGTGTGGAAATATTTGGAGTTCAGTTCAACGCATATATTAGGTTGAATATTGTGCTAGGAATTAGGGACACAAAGAAAAGGCCAAGACATAGTTGTCTCAGGCAAGTTGGAGTTTTGAACAGTACAATGGGAGTCTGTGAGGCAGATAGAATGAGGGACAGGAGTTCCAGGTAGAGGGAACAGCTCGTGCAAAGGCACTGAGCCTGTATGTTTGGGAAACTATGAAGCATTCAGTATTGCTGGAGCAGAAGAGTTGAGAGAGAGAGTCAGAGATTAGGCAGGCCCAGGGCACGAAGGTTCCTATGAGGCCCCGTAAGTAATGAGGAGCCTTTGAACCATTTTAAGGAGAAGAATAGCATGGTTATGTTTACATTTCTAAACAAACAAACAAAAAAACACTCTTTTTTTATTCCTGATTATAAAATTGATCATATTCCTTATAGAACATTTGGAAAGCACAGAAATGCATTTGTGTACATACATACACCCCAAAGTATGTAATGTTTACAATAAACGAGGATAGACAGCTATATGTATGTGTATTTTAAAGTATTTTTTATCAAATGAAGAGAGAATTTCCTCATATCATTAAATATTCTTCAAAAATAGGTTGTCTTCACAAAGTTTAAACATAGAAATTACCTACATCCCAGCAGTTCCACTCCTAGCTGTATACTCAAGAGAAATGAAAACATATGTCTACACAGCAACTTGTACATGAATGTTCACAGCAGCATTATTTGAAATAGCTAAGAAGTGCCAACAACCCAGATGTCCATCGACTGATGAATGGATAAACCAAATGTGGTCTGTCCATATAACGGAATATTATTTGGCAATAAAAGTGAGTGAATTACTGATCTGTGCTACAACATGGATGAATCTTGAAAGCATGATGCCAAATGAAAGAAGCCAGACCCAGAAGGCTGCATATTGTATGATTCCATTTGTATGAAGGGGCCAGAGGGGGCAAATCTACAGAGAGTAGACAGTGGTTGCCTAGGGCTGGGGGGGGGGGAGGTGGTGGTGACTGCTGACGGGCACAGCGTTTCCTTTTTGGAGGATGAAAATGTTCCACAGCAGACTGTAGTGATGGTTGCACAACTCAGTGAATGTACTGAAAACCACTGAAATGTACACTTTGAATGGGTGAATTATATAATATGTGAATTACATCTCAATAAAGCTGTTACCAGAAAAATTAAGAAAACCCAGGGACTTCCCTCATGGCGCAGTGGTTAAGAATCCGTCTGCCAATGCAGGTGACACAGGTTTGAGCCCTGGTCCGGGAAGATCCCACATGCCGCGGAGCAACTAATCCCATGTGCCACAACTACTGAGCCTGTGCTCTAGAGCCCGTGAGCCACAACTATTGAAGCCCACATGCCACAGCTACTGAAGCCCGCGCACCTAGAGCCCAAGCTCCGCAACAAGAGAAGCCACCGCAATGAGAAGCCCGCGCACCGCAACCAAGAGTAGCCCCCGCTCGCCGCAACTACAGAAAGCCCGCGCGCAGCAACGAAGACCCAACGCAGCCAAAAATAAATAAATAAATATATATATATTTTAATTAAGAAAACCCAAATAAAACAGGTAAATACCTTGCTATCAGACATGCAGCCAGATGTGTGGAAGCTGAGATTTAAACCCAGGAGGCAGTCTGGTGCCAGAGTCTGTGGTTGTAGTTACCGCACCATGCTCTCTTCATCCCATTCTCAATTTCCTTAGGCTAACGTTTTAGCACTGAAGTTACAGCGTTAAAGGGTATGAGTTCAGATTTGCACTTTTAGTCAAACGTCTTGGTAGCTGTGGGGAAGGTTTTTGAAGGGGGAAGGAGGCCAGTTAGGGGCTGTTGGACTCACAGAGTGGTTCTTGAGGTGCATAGAGGAGGATTTATCTGTGAGTCATGAGTCGCCCAAAAATCGAGAAGTCGGTAACTGTCTTAGTTATTTATAGCAACATTAAGAAGCGCCCTTCCCTGTCCTGAGATTTCTTTTTTACCACGCTGGGGCTCTTTCTCAGATTGGCCAACACAATGTGAGATACCCTGAGTTTCTGCCTCCTGAATGCCTGTTTTCCTGAACTTCTTTCATCCCAGAAGGAGAATGGACAAACCAACAAAGGTAAATCATCTAGATGAAAAATTTTAAATCACAACTTTGCCAACTCGAGTTTTAAGTAATGAAATGGAGAGAATTCCGCGGACTTGGCAAACGAGGGCTTTAAAAATCTAAATATTTATGAAGTGCTTTGTAGTCCTTTTTAATCTGCGTTCCTTGAGACCCCCTTTTCAGGGTGGATGGTATTGTTAGCTTTGTCTTGTATGTCAGGTAACTAAGACACGGAGAAACAACGAGAATCCAAGCAAGAGCCAGAGGGACCTAAGTGCAGCAGCACAGTTAGAAGGTGCAGTACAGCGTGGGTAGGGAAAGAGTTACTTCAGTATCTTTCACTTTTACCTTAAACTACTTTAACAGGGTCTTATCTCCACAGCAATATGGAGTTCTCGTTCTTACAAAGCATTTCCATTTTTTGCATTCAAAGTAGGAATTCCAGTCTTACACTTTTAGCATAAAATGATGGTTTTCCAAGATTAGTAATTTTTACCAGACCTGTTCATTTTCCAGAAAGGTGAGAAAAATTTTAGTTAACATGAAATTGGTGGCCACAGTTGGGGTTCTTTGTCTGTGATACAACATTATGAAAACTGCTTAAATTATTCTGTTGCAAAGGGTTATATGATGTGCTTCATGCCTTTGATAAGTATTGAGGGCATAATCCTCAATTCCCAGCAGGTGGAGTTTCACTACGTGAAATAACACATTTGCCCTTTTCACAGCAGTCATGTTAGAGAGGATTGCAAAGCTTCCTGCCATTGTTTTTCTGTTTCCTTTTAGAGAGTTAAAGTTTTCTAAAGAAAAGAAGCATTAGTAAATTATTTAGCTCTTGGTGTGCCAGGGAACTGAATGATGAGCAGGGCTGCAGATTTGATTCCCACGCGTGCTTCAGTAGCTTCAGGTGGGAAGCGCTTGGGTGTTTCTTCTCGCCCTCGGTGGCCTCGCGGGCCTCCAGCTCAGCGGTTCTAATTGCGCCGCTGGCTCTGCAGCTGGGCCTCCCCTCCCGGAACTCAGAGGGACCTGCGTGGAGGAGCTGCAGGACTCACGCCCTCGGTCCGGGCCTCAACACAGAGGAGCAGTGGGGACCGCTCCGAGGGGCACAGGCTGCAGCCTCGAGCTCCCGGAGGCGGCGTTGCCCCCAGCATGGTTACGCGGAGGACGCGTACCTGGGGTCTGTCTCTGCGGCTGTCCAGGCCTGCTCCCTACTGGGTTAGTGCAGCTCCGGGCCTTGGCCAGGGCGGGTCCAGGCCGGTTGTCTCCCGTTCAGCACAGCTGGAGCTCCTCAGTTGGGACAGGCGCTCGGGGCTCGACCTGCAACCCCCAGAAATGCTCCTCTGCCTCACTACTTCTCTTCCTCTTGCTGCCCAGCAAGCTGCCTCAGACTCAGTGGCATAAAACAACCATGTCCATTTATTCTTATTGCTTTCATCTTGCGTGGTCTGGGAGTTGTGGGCTCAGTCAGTTCTCCCTCGGGGTGTCTCCCGGGTGTAGACGGAGCCGGGTAGAGCCGTCTCCAAGGCTTCCACGTGCACAGGTCTGGTGGCTGATGCTGGCTCTCGGCTGAGCTCTCAGCAGAGGCCCTGGACTAGAATGCCCACGTGGACGCTTCCTCAGGGCCTGTTGGCCGGGTTCCCACCCAGGGTGAATGTCCCCAGAGGGAGCTGGATGGAAGCCGTGTCATCTTTTCTAACCCAGTCTCTGAAGTAACGCAGTGTTGTTTCTGGTGTGTTCTATTCATTAGAAGCAAATTCCTAAAGCCAGCCCACATTCAAAGGAAGGAGACTTACGTTCCACCTCTTGATGGGAAGGAACCGTCAAAGACCCTGCAGTCATATTTTAAAACCACCACCCAACCTGCGTCCATTGGGTCCCAGAGAACTGCCTTAATTCTTTTTTTTCTCTTTTTTAAATTAATTTATTTATTTTTGGCTGCGTTAGGTCTTCGTTGCTGTGCGTGGGCTTTCTCTAGTTGTGGCGAGCGGGGGCTACTCTTCATTGTGGTGCGCGGGCTTCTCATTGCGATGGATTCTCTTGTTGCGGAGCACGGGCTCTAGTCTCACGGGCTTCAGTAGTTGTGGCATGCGGGCTTCGTTGCTCCGTGGCATGTGGGATCTTCCCGGACCAGAGCTCGAACCCTTGTCCCCTGCATTGGCAGGCAGATTCTTAACCACTGCGCCACCAGGGAAGCCCAGTTTTTGGCTGAGTCCGTTTAGTCCTTGTTCAGAGTCAGTCTTTGGACTCCTAGGCATTGGGGACAGGAAGGTGGTGAGAAACTTATCCTGGATTTCCGAGTTTCTGCCACCTCCTGTCACCCAGTATGCCCTGCAGTTTGGGGGGATAGCTTCTTACCAGCAACCAGTTATGTCTCTGATAAGTGGCCCAGTTTTGCAGACGAAATAAACATGGGAGGGGGAGTGCAAGTAGAAGAGGCTGTATTTTTCTACAGACCTTTCATTTGGTATTTCAGCAAGGAGACGAGGTTTTTCTAGCCTTCTTTAAGTTTGATTTTAATTGTGTTTTCTGAGGATAGCTAAGCAGGATGTCTGTGGAATTGAGTCTGGCAGGCACAGTGTATGTCTGTGGCAGAAAAAACCCCAAATGCAGTATTGCCACAGAGATGAGAGATTAGCACCGCAGGGCACTTGTACCAGGGACTCCAGCCCAGGCCCAGTGTCACCATAGCTAGTTGTCACCACTGTGTCTTCTGTGCCTTGTGGTCATTGCTAAGGCTGCAGTGACCACAAGGCACAGACAAGCCCCCAATTCAATGCTAGCCCCAGGTGTTGTTTTTTATTTTTATTTCTTTTTAAAAAAAATTTATTTATCTATTTTTGGCTGCGTTGGGTCTTTGTTGCTGCGTGCGGGCTTTCTCTAGTTGCGGCGAGCAGGGGCTCCTCTTCGTTGCGGTGCGCGGGCTTCTCATTGCGGTGGCTTCTCGTGTTGCGGAGCACGGGCTGTAGGCACGCAGGCTTCAGTAGTTGTGGCTCACGGGCTCTAGAGCACAGGCTCAGCAGTTGTAGCGCATGGGCTTAGTTGCTCCCTGGCATGTGGGATCTTCCGATCAGGGCTCGAACCCATGTCCCCTGCACTGGCAGGCGGATTCTTAACCACTGCTCCACCAGGGAAGCCCAGGTGTTGTTTTTTAAATGGAATGGTTGGATAATATCATTATGTGTCTTCAGACCTACTAGAGAATGGACTTGAGGATATGGAGAGGGGGAAGGGTAAGCTGTGACAAAGCGAGAGAGTGGCATGGACATATATACACTACCAAACGTAAAATAGATAGCTAGTGGGAAGCAGCCGCATAGCACAGGGAGATCAGCTCAGTGCTTTGTGACCACCTAGAGGGGTGGGATAGGGAGGGTGGGAGGGAGGGAGACGCAAGAGGGAAGAGATATGGGAACATATGTATATGTATAACTGATTCACTTTGTTATACAGCAGAAACTAACACACCATTGTGAAGCAATTATACTCCAATAAAGAAAAAAAAATTTTGATAAAGCAAAATTATATATATATCATTATGTGTCTTGATAGGAAGGTTTCATGGGCAGAGTGAGATTTCCAGAAGCTTTTGAAGAAGGTGAGAAAAGTGCTTGGAGTGGAAAAGTCTCTCAAAAGGAATTATATTAAAAATGGCATTAAGAATAAAAACTTAGGTTGGCAATGTACCATATTGGATTATTATTTTCACCTAGTCATCTAAAAAGGATACAGAAATAGTATCTTTTAGCATTTCTGGTATTATGCATTTGGCCCCTTCAGACAATGGGCAACTGATCATTTTCCTAGGGTTCAGAGCTGTAAATATTATTTTTGAAAATGATGACCTATATTCCCAGTTATAAGCCTTAACTTTCTTCCTCCGGTATTTGTGGATTAGCAGAATAGCAAAGAGCCGATTTATATCTAAATACCAAAAAAAATTTGTTTGATATTATAAAAATAGAGTGATTGATTTGTTTTTTATGTTAGGTTAGAAAAAAATCCATATTTTAAAATGTATCATCTTGAGCAGCCAAGATGTCTCTAAAATCAAATCTCATCTACTTTTCTTTTTTTTTTAATTAATTAATTAATTTATTTTTGGCTGCGTTGGGTCTTTGTTGCTGCGCGCAGGCTTTCTCTAGTTGCGGCGAGCGGGGGCTACTCTTCATTGCGGTGCGCAGGCTTCTCACTGCGGTGGCTTCTCTTGTTGTGGAGCACGGGCTCTAGGCGCACGGGCTTCAGCAGTTGTAGCTCGCAGGCTCTAGAGTGTAGGCTCAGTAGTTGGGGCGCACAGGCTTAGCTGCTCCGCGGCATGTGGGATCTTCCCGGACCAGGGCTCGAACCCGTGTCTCCTGCATTGGCAGGTGGATTCTTAACCACTGCTCCACCACGGAAGCCCCTCATCTACTCTTAAAAAAAAACAACAACAATGCATCTAAATGAAGTAGAAATGTCAACAAGGGAAAGTTTGACTGCTTTTCTGTAGGATCACTTTTGTTATTGATTCATTTCATGCTCGAATTATAGGAAATTATATAATACAGGAAATTATAGGAAATATAAGGTCACTCTTTGTGACCTTAACTGGCATTCTTTTGGTTGTATATATCTTTTGTTTAAAGCTTGGGATGCAGTTCTTTGGACTTTTGCACAAATTATGTCAGTGGCTTTGAAATATAAAGAGTCTCAATAAATTTTGCTGGCATGATTACGACAGTTTCATTCAAATAACATGGACCAAGACATCTCCATTAAAAGTTGAGATCTTGCATGGCAAGGCATCTTAGCTTAGTTGTCCTTGTCTCATAAAACTTTTTGTTACTGAGTCCAAGCTCGCTTTGCTCGCCGCATGACAGGCCAATGAATCGGAGACAAGGTCTTGAGGCAAGGAATATGACTTTATTCGGAAAGTCGGCAGACCGGTGTCTCTGGAAAACCATCTTATCTGGGTCTGGATGCCAGTTTCTTTTATAGAATCAGAGAGGGAGAGGTGGTGAATTAAAGTAAAAGGGCCATCAGTCTTGCAAAGCATCTTCTGGAATGACCAGACTCGGAGAGAGGATGTGTTAGTTTCTTCTTTCTTGCAGCCATCCACAGGTGGGCAGGGTTCCCTGAGGCAGGCCATTAGGTATGTTTATAATAACAAAAGCAACGAAAAGCAAAGGTTAAAGTCTAAGAAACAGATCGGAACATGGAGTCTGATTTAGCTCTTCCCCATCACAATTTGACAGGGAAAAAAAGAGTCAAAGTTCTGTTTAATGCTCAGAAATAAAGTTGATATTTTGAGCTGTAACCCAAATAGCTTACAGTAATGGTTAGGTCCTGTGTGTAGCCAGTTAAGGTGTCTGCAAGGTGATATCTCTGGATAGCAGGCTCTTTTTGCTAAATGGTGTATTTGAAAGGGTTATGAACGTTTCAGCCCAGTTGCCTACTTCTCTCTTTCCTGTAGGCTGCTGGCAGTGAAGGCTCTTTTGCCTCAGGTTACCATACTTTGAAACTGTCATAAATTCCAGTTCTGGGTTCCCAAGGCAAAAGTTCCACAAATAGTCCCCAACATTTAGTTAATCGTACAATGAGTTTATGCGGTGGGGGGGGGGGGGGGGGGGGGGAGTGTTTTGCTACAGTCCCCTTTAGAGAGGGACTACTTTGTTGACATTAACACTGATAATTTGGGAAGTCATTTGACCCAGCTAATGGGTTTTGGTACTTCATTCGTCTGCCACTTGGTACACGTTGAGAAAAATGTCACAGATACTCTTTAATATTTATTCCCATAAAATGGGACTATGAATAATCTAAAATTTTCATCCTTGGAAGTTCTTGTTTATGTAATTTTGAGTTTCGGATGTATGAAAAAGCTTAAATGATACTTAGTGTAGGAGGAAGGCAGTGACTCCTTCCCAATATTATATTAGGAGAAGATTGATAAATGATTTCTAGGAATGTTCTCCAGAGGTTCAAGTACTGGATGTAAATTTGTGTCAGATGACTTTTTAAAGTTATCTTTCAATACTGAGATTTGATGGGCGTTAAATAATAATAATAATTCATTATGTGATATTTTGGGTTTTAGTAGTTAAAATATTTTACTTCTGCACATCAACAATTGTGACACATAAAAGTTTTTGAAATACAGTTTGAATGTGGGTGATCCTCATAGCTGTTTAGGACACAAATTAGGAGGAAAACATAATTTAGGACAGTGTTTCTCAAACTTGTGGTCTGTGTCAGAGCCGGGAGTTTGTTGACAGCATAGGTACTTAGCCCCTACCCAATATCCACAAAGTCAGAGTCTCTGAAGGTAAAGCTTGATCACCTTTATTTTTGGATGATTCTGATATATTTCAAAATGTGCATTACCACTGCTTTAGGACGTAAGCTTTCAGCCCCTTTTTCAAGTTATCTACTTGCATAGATGTATATTTAGAAAATCTTTGACCCCTTTCCGTGAAAGGCAATAATAATAATAGCTGCTGTGTATGGGCGGCTGCTGTGGGCCGGCCGTGTGCTTGGCACTGTGCGTATATGTGTTCTTTAGTCCCCACAATAACCCTTCAAGATCATTATCATTTTCCCCATTTTATAGGTTAAGAAATGAGAAGCAGAGACATTAAGTGTCTTGCCCCAGGTTACCCAGCAAGAAATTGGTAGGGTAGAGATTTGAACCCAGGTCTTTAACTGAATTATAGTTGATTTACAATATTATATTAAGTTTCAGGTATACAACATAAGTGATTCAATATTTTTAGAGATTATACTCCATTAAAGTTATTATAAAATAATGGCTATATTTGGTCTTTATAATTGTAAAGGCTCTCTCTGTATACATGAAATGTGTTCTGAAATGAAGGCTTTAAGTATTATACAGTGCCTGGATCGGGACAATATTGAGTTAACGTGGGTTGGGGGCAGCAGCACGTCCTTCCATCCAAAACGTAGCCTTCCAGGAAAGGGAAAAAGTAGGATAGGGCCAAGGAGTACTGACACCGAAGAAGATTTGTATAGTCCAACTGTGCCCAGGGTGGCGTGGCCGTCAAGCGCTGCCATGGGGTACGGGGCCAGGGTGGGGGGGATTCCAAGGAGACAACCCTAGAACCTTCCAAGGCTGCCGCTCTAAGACTTATGCTTCGTTGAACTGGCAGAATGAACACCTGGAATCTTACCTAATCCTGGATTTGAGTTTTCTCAGCACCTGTCAAGCAGCCCTAACCTTTACGTAAAATGAAGAACTCTCTTGCGGTTATGAGTTATCCCCCAGACAACCTCACGGGGCACAAACAGAGAAAAAAACTCAGTTTTGGTTCAACCATTTTGTGAGCTGATTCTAGAAAGAAACATTGAGTTTGTTTCTTGTACATAGAGAGAGGAACTAAAAGAAGTTGCATGGGGTTCAGCCAAGGGAATAGATTTTGTTAGGAAAGCCAGTGATGACTCAATTGAACTACCGGGGATAAGAAATGAAAAAATCAGTGATTACAAAGCACTTTGTAATTAAAAGTGGCATGAGGCAGAAGAAGTGTTAAACACAAATACGGAGCGTCAAGTTCATTGTTATGGTAAAATATTCTGACAGTAGGCATGGTACTCCCTTGAGAAGAATATAATTATTTTTTATTTTGTAGGAGTCTTTTAAATTGTTGCTTTTTTGTTTTAATATAAATATATATTGTCTTCCTAGAAGTGTTGCAGCAGCTCCACCAGCAGCTGGTAGAAGCTGAGCGTAGGTCAATGACGTACTTGAAACGGTACAATAAGATCCAGGCGGACTACCACAATCTCATCGGAGTCACAGCAGAGCTGGTGGATTCTCTGGAGGCCACAGTCAGTGGCAAGATGGTAAGGAAGGTCCCCCATTGTTCATGTGTCTTTTTTGAGATAAAGATGTGTCATGACACATCTGTTGAAAAAAAAGAAGAAAAAGAAGGCATGTACATAGAAAATTCAGGGACTTCCCTGGCGGTCCGGTGATTAAGACACCGTTCTTCCACTGCAGGGGGCACGGGTTCGATCCCTGGTCAGGGAACTAAGATCCTGCATGCCGCACAGCGAGGCCAAAAAATAGAAAAAAGAAAGAAAATTCAAGCAGTACAGAAATAAATAAAAAGAAAATGTGTGTTTTCCTTTTGCCTTCTCTCCTCTTAAAACTTAACTGCCACGATCCTGGTGTGCTTCCTACAGCCAGGGTCGACGCGACGCCAGGTGTGGCATGCGGGCCACAGATAGGCACATGAGCTCTTACAACTGGAGTGTGCAAGCAGAGGCCTGCAGACCACCAGGCAGGGGTTGGAAGGGCCTCCACTATCAAAACAGGGAGAGATGGGGTTGGGGGGAACACTGGAATCTTAACTAGCTTGTTCTTCATGTAAAAGAAACACGTGCTCTTGGTAAAAGATTGAAACAACTCAGAGGAGTATATAGTTAGGAGCAAAAGGCCTTCCACACACAATTTCTAAGTCTCATTTTCTTACTGACATTCAAGATTAACACTTTCTTGTGTATTATTTCAGAACACTTCTGTGCATGTGCACGTGTGTGAACGTGTGCATACAGTATGCACATACTTACTTGGGATCTTGTGACCCATTACTCTTCTCAAACTTGCTATGTCACTTTCAATATATCTTGGAGATTTTTCCACATGACCACACACCTACTTCATTCTTTTTGATGCTTGTACATTATTATTCCACTGCAAGGGTGAACCATAATTCATCAGATCTCCGATGAGGAACATTTAGATTTTTTTGTTTGCTTTAACAAAAACTGTTATAATGAACATCCTTGTATATACTGTATACCTTTGAATATAGGTAGGATAAGAGCCTAAGAATGGAATTGCTAGGTCAAAGGTTATGGGCATTAAAACTTTGAGAGATGTTTTGCCAAATTATTTCTCCATAGATTTCAACAATGTCTACCCAGTAGCATATCAGAGCATCTATTTCTCCATACACTTGCCAACACTGGACATGATTATACGTTGAAATTTTTGCCAGTTTGCTGAGTAAAACTTGGTATTCTGAATGTTTCCATTTACATTTCTTTTAGTCAACTCTTTATTCATGTCCTTTTCTCACTCACTTGTTTTAAGCAAGAGAGTGACGGAATCAGATTTCCTTGTTAAAGGGATGGGTCTGGTATCAGTTCCGGTATCAGCCAAAAGAGGAAACAGTTTCAGGAGCAAGGGGTTGATCCAAAGTCTCAAAAATCACAGAAAACTGTAGAAGTCCAGAACGGAAAAGTGTCCAGTGTTTCTGACACTTAGAAGGTCATTGGTGGTGGCCTTTGCCATGAGTTCCCTTGGGGTGATTCAGATGGGGGCTCGACTGTGGTGTGTTGAAAGGTAAAGTGAAGGGGAGGCGGCAAACGTTGGCTATTCTTTCAAGGACCTTGGCTGTGAAGGAAGAACACTGAGAGGGTGGTTGATAGATGAGGGCTTAGGGAGGAGAGAGGGGAAGGTATTTTTAAAATATTAACTGTATTTTGGACATGTTTCTAGGTTGTAGGGAAGGAGCAGGTTTACAAGGAAAGGTTAAATGTACGGGATGAAAAAGGAATGATTAAATTTTGATACTGTGGGAATTCAGAGGAAATGGGCTCAGGATAATGTAGGAGGTGCAGCCTTGAGATGGGGCCCTTCTTTGTCTGAGTCACTTATAGCCGAGTGTCGAGGGATGACCAGAGACATCTGGCACAGAGGGGCAGTCTTTCTGGTGGCCGAAACAGACCAGATGTTTCGAGGGGACAGACAGGAGGACCACAGGGAGACAAAAGGGTCTAGCCCAGTGTTCTGGCTCTTTCCAACTCACCAGCCAGTTGAGTTGTCTTCCTCTTGTGGGGACGAATGAGTGAGGGGTAGGAAGAGAGCCAGTTACATTACCATATGGAAGTTCAGCACATGGAATCATGAGGCTGGGGAAAAGGAGCTTCCCTCTCACAATCAGGCACAGGAAAAAGTCTGGAAGGGGGTAAAATTGTTAAGAGTAGTTACCTCCAGGGATTGGTTTGTGGGGTGGGGCTGGGGAGAGGTTGTGTTACCTTTTAAATGAGCACATGTTACCCCTATAAAAAGAAAAGACATAAGATGAAAACGTTTCAGAAATTACCACCTTAGATGCTGGATGTCCATCCTGAATCATGGTAGCTAATGAGAGAGGTATGAGAGGTGCTGAAGGAAGAGGCCATGATGCAGTGGCATCGATGCAGCAGTAACCCAGCCACCTGTTGTCTAGCACTGGACAGTGTATAAAGTGTCTCCGTCACTCATTCAATAAGCGTTTACTGAGCCATCTGTCATGTGCTAGGCTCTCCCTTGATCTCATTTACCCCCCTCCCCGTGACGCAGAGCCGTGGCCTCATTCATGTCGTCCGACAGGTCAGGAAAGCAGGAGGCAGAACTGTTGGTTTTCTCGAGTCCACTGCTTGAGCCCAGATCTTCAGATTTTCAGTCCGGCTTTCTTTCCATCACATTATGGCCACCCAGTGACTTTGTTGCTTGAATTAACAAAAAATGGTTTAAAATCGGTTTATTTTATGGGAAATCCCTGGCGGTCCAGTGGTTAGGACTCTGCAGTTTCACTGCTGAGGGCACAGGTTCAATCCCTGGTCAGGGAACTGAGATCCCACAAGCCGCCCTGTGCAGCCAAAAGAAAAATGAAAAATCAGTTTGTTCTACATGACGGCAGGAGTACGTTAAGTGGAGTTCTGTAACTTAAAGTATGCTATCCCGTGACCACACCAGTAGTGTGTTAGTTTTTGCGTCAGGCTCAGTGCTTCAACTCCCTAGGGCTGCGATGTTAAAGCAGAAGCTCACCTTTGTGCCCTCGGAGAGGCTGTTGAGAGTCAGCTCCGACACTGGCTAGGGTGCCTCTCACGGCTCCGGGGATGTCTCACCCCTTTCACCCGCCGTCCATCCTCTGTCCTCCGGCAGATCACCCCCGAGTACCTGCAGAGCGTCTGCGTCCGCCTCTTCAGCAACCAGATGCGGCAGAGCCTGGCGCGCAGCGTGGACTTCACGAGGCCCGGCACGGTGAGGCTCTGCGCCCGGGTCTGCCCCCAGGTGTCAAAATCCCGTAACTTTAAAAAATGGGAGAACAGGAGAAATAACACATTCGGAGTCTGCATCTCAGCGGGCTTTGGAGGTCTGTGCGTTCCCAGAAGGAAGGGTGGGTTTGGGCCGCTGGGAGGCGGCCTCCTGAGGGAGGGGGCGGGGGAGGCGCATTTGTCTCTTCCAGACGGAGCTGCTTGTTGGGTCCCAGGGCCGCTAATGGCAGCAAGGCAGTAGGAAACGAAGGAAACCTCGTCCTGTTTGAAAAATCACGGCCGTGTTGGGGTTGTGCGGTGGCAGACGGGCTTTCCTTTTATCTTTTTAAACTTTATACTTAGAATCATTGCAAACGTACAGAAAAGCTGCAAAAACTGCCCGAAGGACACTTGTATACCCTTTGCCCATATTCACCACCTGCTAGCGTTTTGCTCATTTGTTTGTTTACTTTCTCTCCACACACACACAATATGTTTTCTGAGCCATCTGAGGATAAATTACACATGTTTATGGCCCTTTGCTCCTAAATACTGGAGTGCAGTGTGCATTTCTTAACAGCAATGTTCTCTCATATAACCATGTGATTGTCAACTTCAGTAAATTTAATATCGAGGCAGTATTTTTACCTGACTAACCTACTGTGCATGTCCCAGTTTTGCCAGCGGAGCCATTAACATCCTCTACAGCAACCCCTTCCCCGTGCCCGGAGTGTGGGCTCAGGTATTACGTTGGTTTGTCGTGTCTCTTTAGCCTCCTTTCAGCTTCAACACTCCCCACTCCACCCCCGTCTTTCTTTCTTTGACTTTCATGACATCGACATTTTAAAAGAAGACAGTCCTTCCCCTTCTTTAAAAATAGAACATTTCTCCTTTTGTGGTCGATGTTTCCTTGTGGTCAGATTCAGGTTTGCGTTACAGGCCAAGACATTACGTAGGTGACGTGTCCTTCCTAGGAGAGCTCATCTGGAGGCATGTGGAGCTGAGTCGGCTTCTTAACCAGGGGCACGAGTATAGCTGTGTCTCCAGAGGAAGTTTTCAGAGTTCGTGAACGCATGTCCCGGGAGCGCACACCAACCTGCCGCCTGGTCCAGAGGCTGTGTGTGTGGAGCCGGGCAATTAGGAAGGAAGCGCCGGGTGATGCTGAGGCAACCCCGAGGGTCAGAGCCCCAGCTTTTAATTAAGTGTTTGCACATTAATACTAGGGTCTTCATAAACAAGGCCTTTTTCAGCATTAAAATAACCTACCTGATTCTCAAGTAGATTTGAAGCAGCGTATTATGAGAAAACACAAATATGAGAAATGAAAAGATAGAAAATAAAAATAAAGAAATTTTGGTTAGAATTCATAGAAACTGAAAGTAGATTGGTGGTCGCCAGGGAGTGGGGGAGATGAGGGGATGTTGGTCAAAGGGTACAGACATCTGGCTTTAAAATGAATAGGTCTGGGGATGCAATGTGCAGCATGAGGACTACAGCTAACAATACTGTACTGTGTACTTGAAGGTTTCTAAGATCTTAAATGTTCTCACAACAGCAAAAGGTAACTGAGAGGTGACAGCTGTGTTAACTGACCTTATCGTGGTAATCATTTCACAATATGTACATTTATTAGATTATCACATTGTATGCCTGAAACTCACACAATGTTGTATGTCAGTTATATCTCAGTAATGCTGGGGGAAAAAAAGAAATTGTGCTTAAAGGAAGATGAGGGTAGGAAGAATAAAAGTAAGCCCGGGCTCAGGCTAGTATAAAAAAATGCATGTCCTAAGTTACTGTACCCCTGGGAGCGAGGCTCAGATTTGGCTGTGGGCTTCCCAGTAGCCTGTGCAAAGAACAGTTACATGACTTATTTCTAAAGGAAGAGAGGGTGATATTCACTGCATCTAGAACGGCGTTTGTGCTACACATGTAGCCTGTGAAGCACGGCAGTAAAGTGAACGCCTGCGAGCCCATCACACGTGCCCACAATAGACCGTTTCAATGCCACCAACGTCCCCTATGTGCCCTTTAGACCGTGAACTTTTTCCAAGTAGGTGTATTACTCTTACAATTTAAAAAGAAGTCTAAGCACCTTGTGTTTTGAGGACTGGAAGGTCCGAAAACTGCTGCACAGGGTTTTTCTGGTGCTACGACCCGCGGAGAGTTCCCCTCGTGGATCTTGGTAGAAAGGACATGGTAACGTGGTGAAGAGCCAGCATCCTTGACCATGTCCTCGGGGTGCACGTGGAAGCGCATCGCCAGGCTTTCGCTGCATCGGCTGTGCCACACGTGGACAGGAGCTGCGGAGTGCATGCTTTAGGATGTGGGTGCAGTGATGTCAGCATACAGGAATCTTAGCGAATCGACCATTTTAAAAATGTCAGTAAAGCACACACAGACATCCGAGTTTCGAAAAAGTAACTCCCTCATGGGCCCTCTAGGATGAGGGGTTTTAAGCCACATCCCTGTGGCCTGGCTGAGTTGACCCTCTGTGTCCAGTGTATGCTTAGCTGTAAGTCATCAACCTAAGGTAACATTAAGGATAGAGTGTGTTCATCAAAAATGATGGCTTTCTAGCAGTAATTAGCATAGCAGGATCTGTGTCTAATAAGACCACTTCTTCCCCCCACCTCTTCCATTTATGTATTAATTCAGTAAATACTTAGTGTTCTTCAGGTTTGTTTATAAAACCCCACCCTGTCTTGCATATACAAGAATCCTGTCTGTTGGCGGAGTGCTGCATCCAGCATATTTAAAACTGATGTTGGGACTTCCCTGGCAGTCCAGTGGTTAAGACTCCGTGCTTCCACTGCAGGGGGCACGGGTTCAGTCCCCGGTCAGGGAACTAAGATCCCACGGGCCACGTGAACAAAACTGATGTCATGTTTAAAAGGAGCGGTATAAAAGGGGATGGGGGAACAACATATCTGCTATTTCATCCCGTTAGAAGTTACCTTCATTTGTCAAGAGACTGGTCCTACCATCCTTCCCAGTTATGGTGGCACTAAGGTACAGGGTGTAAGCCTCAGAAACCACGGGAGAGAGGATGTGCTCCGTTTGCCTTAACTCGTAACCGTTTCTTTTTCCCCCACTTGAGTCATTGACTTAGTAACAGGCCATAAAAACTGCAAACAATTTTTTATTGTTCCTAGTATATTTTTCTTATAAGGTGATAAAAAGTGGGTGAGGGGTCATCATGGAAGTGTAAAAGAATATTGTAGTTGACTAGGCATGCCTAACGTCAATGTATGATATCAGATTTATAACGCATGAAGAGGAAATTAGGGTACAATTTAGATCGATGTCCGGTGACTGAGTCAGTCGGATCTAGGATTGGGAAGAAGATTGCTTTTTTATTTGTTTAAGGGAATACAGTCTACCCGAAGTCCAAACAGGATGCCATCAGTTTCAAGATAAATAGGTAGGCACAGACCAGCCTTCCTTCTAGCCTGGTCCTTGATCAGCTTCTCCTCGGGCTTGAGCGTTTCAATTCACTGTACTGACAGGAGCCTGGCTGAGGCCCATCAGAAAATGGCTGGTGCTACGAAGTTTAGTGCCTTTGATACTGGTTTCTAAATCTGGCTGTTAAGAATCTGGCCCTCTGCAACCTCATTCACTGTTGAAAGTTCAGAAGGGCTCAGTAAATAAGACCCTTCTTCCCCCTGAGTTCCGAGCCAATTGAAAAATACAACAATAGAATGAAGGGAAAAGGAGCTGGAAACATTGCCACTGATTCTGACAAGCTTATGTTGGAGAATGTGGATTTTTTTTTTTTTGGTAGGCAGGTGGGTAACCTACTTTTGAGCCCTGGAATTAAAGAAATGCTCCCCCCCCCACCCCTGTCATGGACAGCTGTGGCCCAGCCCCTGCTCTCCACCCGCTCCACCCATACCACTGGGGCTGTGCTCTCTGTGCAGCCTCACTGCCCAGAGGAGCGGGGTGCAGGGCGGTGCAAATCCAGCAAGTCACCCCCTCTGGGTGGTATATGTGAAGACTGTGTATGTGTGGAGGCCGAGGACCCCACTGAAGAGACAAGAAGTGTGTTTCCACCCTACCTCCTTCCCGCCCAGGTAACTGTGTCCGGAAGTCTGATGCATTATCAGAGCTGGGCGTCAAATCCACGTGCTCCCAGGGTTGATAATGATGGATTAAATCTTGAGAAGAGAGCTCTCCTGGGTGGCCTCTTCCAACTTGACTGCTTGTCACCACCACCACAAACCCCAGGTTTGTCATGCCGTGGTCCTTACCAAATCAGGTTCCAAACCCTGGGGCCCATTATTTGCTGGGATTTGAGATGAATCTGATTTTATATTATCAGGAATCTAGTGATAAGTAGTAAAAGGAGAAACTTCTTCCTCAGAGCACAAGAGGGAGGTTTTTTGTGTGTTCTAAGGTTATACAAGGGATACAAGAATATGTGTTAGCTGGAAAATACACAACAATTTAGCAGTAAATGGAGCAAAGCAGAAACCCCTTCCCTCCCTCACACTCACCCCATCCTGCCTTCCTCCACAGATAAGTGTTGACTGTGTTTCATATGCATCCTCCAGACCTTTAAAAATTGTATATAATTGAGATTTTATTACACATATCATTCTGCAGCTGTCTCCTTTCACTTAACTACATTTTTGAAAGTCTTTCCTGTCCCTTTAGCATACTTGTATTTCCCTTATCTTTCAGAATTTTAATTTGAGAACAATATGGTACATTTAGCCATTCCTCTGGCAGACATTGTCGGTTTTTTGCTCTTTCTAATGATGCAGCGTCCATCTTTGTGTGCTGCAAATAGCATTTAAAAGTGCTTTGGTATGTCTTTCTCTTCCTAGCCCCCTGTTTGCAGTGGGCAAGCATGAATGCAGAGACACTCTCAAGGTGGAAATCTGAGCACAGCCCCCAGTTGAGTCCCAAGTCCCACCCTGTGGCGCCTCTAGGTTTGTGATTCATCGGATGGGAAAGCTTCCATTTAAACCCATCCTTATTGGAAAAATGGCTCTTTGGGGAATT